AACTACCTGACCATCACCTGAAGGTTGCCTGACATTCTTGGAGAGGGGCAGGGAACCCTCCCTAGGACTGTTCTTGCCTAACTAGGTACCAACTGTAACAGGTTCACTTCAGCTCTAGTAAATGGTCAGAGTCCCCCTGTTCCAAATGGGGTTGGCTCTGTAACCACCCAGTTGCTTCATTTTCCTTACTACCCAGACATGCTGATTTATCAAGACAGGGGTATTGCAATAGGGAAATAGTTTAATATACATAGAGCTGGCTAAACTCTATGTATATTAAGGAGACTGGAGTTTTATTATTGCTCAAACCTCCCTGAATATTCAGAGGTTAGGATTTTTCAAGGATAGTTTGGGGGACTGGGAGCTAGGGGAACGGGTGCTGCTGCTTGGTAAGGAATGCAATCATAGGTGTTTAATAAATGGTCCTACTTGGCTGAGTTTGCTTTGGGGTTGGGACCACTGGACCAATTGAGCTAAGAGTCATGGGTCTGGGTGGGGCCACCCAGTCATCATCAGGTCATTAGAAATGCAAATGCCTGAAAGGGCATTTCAAAAAGTCAATCATAGTTTCTATAATTGTTGGGTAATTGCAAATCTTGTGACCTCTGAGGTAATGGCTGGCAATTATTTAACTCTACCTACATCTTAGCAGAATTCAAGCCACTTTCATCCACGTAACCTGGTGGCCTTGCATTAGTTTTACAAAGGCAGGTGAGTTTTTAGGAAGGGCAGATAGTTTATCATTATACTTTTATATAGTTTATCATTTTGAACTATTGACTAAATTTCTCCCAAAGTTAGATTGACCCATGCCCAGGAATGACCAAGGGCAGTTTGGAAGTTAAAGGCAGGATGGGGCTAGTTAAATCATGTCTCTTTCACTGCCGTAACTCTCTCACTTTTATAATTTTTGCAAAGATGGCTTCAGTCCCAAAAAGATTATCTCCCAGTGTAGGAAGGCTGGCTAAGAGCTTGTGCCCAGGGGACATGGTGAACATACATCCTGCTGCCACTCTGATTTGATGTCTCCTTTGACTGAGTTACAGAATAGAGTTTCTAGGCTGAGTATGGTAGTTCCACTTCCTGCATTTGTCTCTTCCTGTCCTCAGGAACATTTCTCCCTGCAGGCAGTCACGGGTCTACCTATGAGTTCAGGCAAGGACAGGTCTTCTGACAGGGAACCCAAGAAGGTGGAGAAACACATGGTTGCTGCTTGGGCAGAATGTAGGGGGAAGAGCATTGTAGAAGTGGAAGTCCGGTTCCCCTGCCATCTGCTTCCACTTCTTTGTGGCCCCAGGAGTTGTTTCAACTTCATACTTGAGCTCTGGATTGTTGCTGGTGAAGATCTCCGAGCCATATATTTCTTTTTGTTTCTTGTGTGAGTCAGCAGAAAGAGAATCCCGCTTGCCTCTATGCTGCCATTATGCTGCCAGCTACCTCAGGAAGATATATTTTATATGCACACATATTCTGGTTAAAGCAAACTCCATAGAATGAAAATTGATGGGTGCATCTTTATTTGGAATAGACATACCACATCACACACACACATACACACACACACACACATATACATTTACCTTTAGTATGTATTGGTGTTGGTTGTCAGCCAGGACCCTTACCTATGTTCAATTGAAACCAACTCTAACATACTTAAAAAGGGAATTTTTCAGAAAGATATTTTATAGGCCAAAGATTAACAATGAACCTGAAATACTAGCTTTGAAAAGCTGACTTGAACCAAAAAAGCTTGGAAATTGTATCCTGCAATAAAAACAACTTGGTCAGGATACTGCCTCTGATAAAAATAATACAGCTAGGCTGACTACAGTGGCTCATGACTGTAATCCTAGCACTTTGAGAGGCCTAGGTGAGAGAATTGCTTGAGCCCAAGAGTTCAAGACAAGCCTGGGCAACATAGTGAGGCTCTGTCTCTCCAAAAAAAAAAAAAAAAAATTACCTGGGCATAGTGTGCATGCCTGCAGTCTCAACTATGCAGGAAGCTGAGGTGGGGGATAGCTTCAGCACAGGAGGTCGAGGCTACAGTGAGTCGTCTTTATGCCATTGCACTCCAGCCTGGGCAACAGAGCAAGACTCTGTCTCAAAATGACAACAACATTAACAAAAACAACAATAAAAACATAGCTGCCTCTAGATTTCTCAGTGTTCTATTGTAATTTCTAAACTTTGTGTGTTGATAATAAAACCCCAGAAAAAAATCAGTCCAATTCACTCAAATTATGAAATTACATCATATAACTTTTCAATGGCTAGATGGATGCTGGATGGAGAATAGTATACATATTTAGAGAGAGAGAATGTGTGTGTGTGTATGTGTGCGTGTGTTTATACTTAGCTTCTGCAATAAAGTTGGAGACCAAGTCTCTCTAAGAATGCATTACACATGAATGAGATTTTCACTCAATTATAATTTCTAACTTGTTATAATTATTTAAGATATCATTTATTTACTATTTATTTTATAATAAGCACCTTGCTGAGTTAGTTGATCCAGTTCGTTCAATTAGTTTCTGGTTGACTCCTGAATTTTTTCAGGCATTCATTATATTGCCTGAACATAATGATAACTTTTTCTCACCTTTTAAATTATATTTGCATATTGGTATTCTTTATGAGTTTTCTCTTTACGTGAATTAATTCATCTGGAATGAAATTGCACAATTGGTGTGTGTTATTTCATCACCTTGTAGAGGATTCATCAACTTTCTCCTGGCCTGTGTGAAGTGAGATTGTTAGTTGAGTTTGTAGAATATCTTTTATATTTCAATCAAAAGCCTACTCTGTTCTGTCAGAGATAGGAATTACAAGTGAAATATTGATGCCATCTTTATTCTGACTCCTTATAACTTAGATCTTTTCTTGGCACAATGCATCTTTATTATTGTAACCAAACACAAGTCCAACCGCTTGTCACACAGAAGCCAAACACAAGAATTGAGATGAGGTGAAAAGAAAGCGGTTTTATTAATCAAATTCTAGCAATTGGGAAATGGTCCCACTCATGCCTCCCAAAGGCTCATGCTTCCGATTTCTTATTTGAGGCTGAGTAAGAGTTTTAAGAAGGGAAACTTGCTGTGAGAAACATGTGGGAGTAAGGCAGGGTAGAAAGCCTATGTATCTTGTTGCAATGGCTGTCTTGTGCTATTATCTACCTCAAGCATGGGCTAAAGCCATTTCAACAATGGCCAGGTTGTAGTTTAACTACCTTTTGGGGTAATCTCTAGATGGGGAGAATTCCACGGTTGGTCTCTGCACCTGTGTCACTTTAAGTTTAGCCCCTGAAGTTTCTAGGCAAGAACATAATTAGATAAACTAGTACAGGTCAAGGAGTATGTCCAGTTGGGAAGGAGGGAAACAATGAGATTCAAAGTGTATTTCAAGGCTAAGACTAGAAAGAACAAAAAAAGTTTTTAAAATGCACTTTGAAACATTTTAAAGCATTACGTGATCTCAGGTATTGTAGAAAAAAATTAAAATTGAATGAAAGAATGAATGTTAAATCTCATACAGGAAACATTGCATCACTAGACTGAAGCAATGGAAAACATTTTATAAACTACTAACTTAACATGTGGCATCAGTTATGTATTCCCAATGTCACACATTTAATATAGAGATTAAGAAGCTCACATCACCATCGCAAGTCTAGGGTATTGAAGTTCAGGGAGCTGTCTACAGGGATCTCTAGTGCAAGCAATCCTCACCATCTCACGCCAAAGGAATTGAACCTCATCTTCCTCCAACTACCTCAGTTTGCAAGAAAAAGTGGATGATTCTCAAAGGTTTTCTTGGAAAATACCTCTTACCTCACATCCAGCCGTCATCCTGCAAATATGTCTGGAAAAAAATAGTCATGACTGGTTTCTTACCTTCCAAGTTTGAAAGTGCCTTTGGAATCTAGGAATTGAAGCTGTTAGTGTCTTCTCTGTAAGGCAAAAGAAACTTTAGAAGAAATTTTTCTGAGTATTTAAAATAATATTCATTCAGTATAACAATCCTATGAATAAGAAACTGATTATTTTTAGATAACTGAGGCATGGAACAATTCCAAACAAGGCAATTTGGCTCCAAATTCTATGCCCTTCCAGTGCTAAGTATTTACATAGCTAAGTATTTACATCACATACATATGTATTTATGATCAACATTCCAGTCAAAATATACCTGATCAACTAAACATACCAAATTAGCTGCAGTTTCAAGGTAGAAATTTATTTCATTTTATTGGGCAAGCCTGACCATATGAGAAGCAGAGGTAAAATTGGTAGCATTGAAATCCTCTTCCTCAGTCTTTTACCTACTATACTAAAGCTAAGTTTAAAAGACTCCATAGTGTTATATGGTTAGCTCACGCAAGCTCATTGGATGTGAAGGTAAATGTTGGTGTTAATCAATTGGTAAGATTTATTCAAAAGCACTCTAATACATGCATTACCTAATACCTTTAAATATTAGCCTAATTGATCAATGCATAGTCAAGTAAAAAGATAGATAGCAGTTTGACATAAAGGCAGGTTCTATGGGCAACAGAAGAAATGAATGTCTATGCCTACAGGACTAGAATAATAAAAGAAGAGACATTTGAATGGAACATTGAGGAACAAGATTTTAAAATAAATTCCTCCTGAATAGAGAGAAAATTCTGACATACTTCTATAGATATTAATATTAAGACAAACCAAACCAAGAATTTAGTGTAAATAATTAGGACATTTGAGTGATGGGGCAATATTTAATTCATTTTAACATTTCATATTCTGTTCAGAGATTTAAGTAGTATAACAATTTCATTTACCTAAAAGTACACTGTTGCCAAAATGTCTTTCTAACCTCATGGGGTTTGACCAGCCAGCTTCTAAGAGCAATTTGAAAATCGTGCCACTGATTAACTAAGCTTCCTGGAAATTTCAAAATATGTTAAGAGTCAGCTGATTTGTCAGTTCCATATGGTTACTCTCAGAATGAGATCACAGGGTTATTTTATTGTGAAGATGGAGATCAGTAAGGAGTTCACAGTGTATTTAACTCACATCAGTTATTCCGGTTACACTTCTCATTTACATTGATAAAATGTAAGTTTTGAAAACATTTATTATTTATCTTTCATTGGTTTGTGTCTCAGATATATTGTAAAGACCAATATTGTATATTTTAATACATGCCAATGTACCAAGTTGCAGAAATATTTAAAACTGATTTTGGATGAAGTCAGTCTGTCTACTTTGCATAGATAAAAATTGTGTCTAAAATTACATTACTTCATAGCTCTGGGTTTCACAAAAAATTAAGTATGATCAGTCCTTTCATTGTGATACTTTTACAAAATCTACTTTTATATGTTCTATCCTAAATGCTAGGGAACCACAGATATGGGGACACCTAAGAAGCACCCTTTCTATTTTTCTCTCTCCCAATCCTGTTCAGATCCTATAATAAGGCAGAAAAATCACAAGAAAAATATTTGAAAATAATGATTCCAGAACAAAATGGCCTAGGCTGTATTCCATGGGACACTCCTGTACAGAGTGATACTAACAAATATTTCAGGAAAAGCAAGCGCTGAGGTAAAAAATGTGAGTAATTTTGCATATTTCTCTTTCTTGGAAATTCACAATTCATATTTGCCTAGTAAATGTTCTGAGAAATCTTGATCGAGAACAACTGTTTAAAGTTTATTTAATTTAGCAAGACCTCTTGTTTATTACACTATATATATATATATATATATATCTATCTCTATTTTATCCAAGGGTAATATTTCCTTGAATATATATTTCTTGAAGTCTTAATAAGACTTGTGTAGACAAACAGCTACTGACTAGATAAACACATTGGGTTGGTTAGAACATAGGAAAATCATTTTATCATTAAATACCTAGGCACAGTGGCTTCTATGGTCTGCATGAGCAAATTACTGAGTTGGGTGTATGTATTTAATTATTATTTAGATAATTAGCTAATTAATTAATTGTTAATAGAGTCAATAGTACATTTTCATGCCTTCACTGGTGTTGACAAGTTTTAAGCATAAGTTTTCTGGAAACTGTTTTGCCACTATAAGGAGAGAGTGTGACTGAAAGTAGTCAACAATTAAAAGCAAAACCGGGAGTCAGAAAGGAATATCCCAAAACTCAAATAGCTTTTAGTTGAAATTGAAGGTGCCTGAATTTCAGGTATACCTGAAGCTAGGTCTTACCTAGACTTTTCTAAATCTGTCAATCCCCTCTGTTGGCTTTTGTTTTTGTGTTTCGCTTTAGTTAGCTTGAGTTAAGGTTTTGTTACCTAGGTAATCAAAATAACTTTGAAAAACGCAACAGAGAAATGTTATTCAGTAATCTCTATTTTAAATTCCGTGACTTCCTATTACTCAAAAAAATTTTATTTTTGAGAATATGTTTGAATATTTATATACACATACACAAACACATATAGTAATACACATACACACACACACACCACATAGATATATTTTTTCTGGAAGATTGTCTTGGTGGTATGTTTTCTGGGCCTTAGTTATTGCAATGTTATGACTGAATGACAGCTGATGGCCTTTGTTTTTGTTTTCCTTTTTTTGAATTACAGTATTTTCTCTTCTGTATTAAACACAGAGTACTTCATTATCTGCTCAAATTTCATATCACAGTTAAATCTGAGGCTTGACTGTTTCATTTATCTTGTAAGTAATTTTTTATTAATAAACCTTTAGAAATACGCCTTTGTCTCTTCAATTTGAAATTTATCAAGTTTACTTATTGCTACATAGATAAATTGCTAGATACACTACCTTATCTCATTATTCACCACATTTAGCTTTTCAGTTATGCAAATGATAAGACACAGGAAAAATATTATTGAGTAGATCGACTTTAGGGAGTAAGGAGCACATTAAATCTTGCTTAAATAATTATCTAAAAGTTTGATAATTGTAAGTAGTCAATAATATTGGATTTTGATTAGATGTAAGTGCAAGTCCAGTTATGAGTATCCAGAAAATGGCATAAACTTTGTTATAATAAAGAGCACTTAACCACATTTCTTTGTTGTTGTTTTTTAATGTTTACTTTTTTCTGAAATACTATGAAGCTGGTGGATTCTTAAAATTTCTGGTCAGCATTATTTGCGATTTGTCTAAGAACATGGAATAATGTACACAGTAAATCAGAGCCTATTTAATTTAAAAAAGTAGTTATGCCTAATGAATGCCACAGCCTGGGCCAGGCTCTCTGTCTATAAAATAAACATGGTTTCTGCTTGTCTCATAGATCTTACAGTTTGGTAAGGATTAAAAATGCTTCATAAGGAAATAAATTTATAATTAAAAATGAGAAAAGATGCAAAAAGAAATACACAGGATGCTGTAGATTTGCTCTACAGAGTCAAAAATCTAATTAAAGAAATATACAGGATGCTGTAGAAAACAATAACAGAGTCAACAATCTAATTGCATAGTAAGTCAAAGTTTCTTCGAAAAAGTGACATTTAAGCCCATAGGAAGATAAGGAGCAAGGCATGTGAAGAAAGGGCACCCGAGCAAAAAGGGTAACTTTTGCTCTAGGACTGGGGCAAGGAAGAACTTAGTGTAGTCAAGTACAAAAAAGATCAACAGAATGTCTGCAGCCCAGTTTTCAAGGTGCAGAAACTCTGAAGACAATGTGGCAGAGCTCGCCAGGAAACACAATCTTCAGGCATTTGTAGAATGTACAAATTATGCATGTACGTAAATGGTAGAATCTGGCATATGGATCAAAATGCTGGCATTTTATTTGTGGGTTGCAAGTCCTCTGAGTTGTAAGGCTGAAGAATAAACAGAAGTGAACAAAAGGGGAAAATTAAATGCAATAATTCATAGTGTTGGCCCCTGTTTCTCAGAGAACTCAGAGGAGCACAGTGTGTTTTTCTCAGAAACGGTAACTCAGAAAGGTTTTTTTTTTTCTTAGAGTCTCGCTCTGTCGCCCAGGCTGGAGTGCAGTGGTGCGATCTCAGCTCACTGCAAGCTCCGCCTCCCGGGTTCCCGCCATTCTCCTGCCTCAGCCTCCCGAGTAGCTGGGACTACAGGCGCCGCCACCACGCCCGGCTAATTTTTTGTACTTTTAGTAGAGACGGGTTTCACCGTGTTAGCCAGGATGGTCTCGATCTCCTGACCTCGTGATCCACCCGCCTCTGCCTCCCAAAGTGCTGGAATCAGGAGGGTTTTAAGAAAGAAACAAAACATGGCATAGTTTTGGGGAAAGAAAAAAGTGGGGTGGAGGGGGTCATCTGTATGAATCCTTTCCATTTTCTGTTTTTCATTAGTCAAAGTTATCACTGTGAAGAAAGGACATCACTCTGCTTTCAGGTTGTGTCGCTGTGCTCTGACATTCTCATGGTTTACTGTTTCATCTAAGTTCAGAAGTGAAAGGATGGTGATAAAATGGCAGAAAAAATGCATAATAGCAAAGAGAGAGAGATAGAGATGTAATTCAAGGACTCAGAAGAGGCACACAGGTTTGTACCTAATATACTATGATGAAAAATTTGGAATTTATGCTCAATGCAATGGGAATATGTTGAATAACACTGAAAAATTGTTGTGATGTGATCAGTTTTACATTTCTAAATGATACTCTGGATACTATGGGCGGATGCAGAGAAGCAGGGAAGCATCTAGTAGGCAGACTGATTAAAAGCTTTTAAAATTGTCCAATTGAACACTAATGATAGTTGAGACTAATCCGTTGGCAGTGGAGGTTAGAAAAAGTGAATGCTTCTAAGAAGTACTTTGAAGGCTGAGTTAGTGCTATTCACTGATGGATTGACTGTGAAAAACGCAGGATGAAGAAAAATTAAGATGGATTTTATTTCTTGATGAAGTGAAGACTAAGCTAGAAAAAGAGATTTGAGAGTGGGATTTGAATAGAGATTCTTAGTATAACTTTCCCAAATTTCCTTTCTTCTCATTATTTTTCATAAAATATGATTGACTTGAAATGGCCTGAAATCTCAAATCTGATTTCTAATAATGAGGTATATTGCCAACCTTCTAAAAATGTTGACATTTTTTTCCTTCTTCCCACCTTTCTCTAGAAAAGGAATTTTAGTTGTTGAAAGTAAGACACATTGAATCTGCATGGTTTCAAAGAATAAGACTTAAAATTTTAACAGGTATTGAATATAAAATGATAGTTGGCCATGAGCTAAGCAGTCTACATATATTATCTCATTTAATCTTCACAATATTTGAGATGTGCATTATTATTCATATTTTCTAGAAACTGACACACAAGAATATTAAGTAACTTTCCCAAGAGAGTTTTAATTATGTAGCAATGCCAGGGTATAAATTAAAGTATTCTGAGCCCAGAATTAAAATTCTTTCTTACTATGTTGTATTGTCCCGTGTGTCATTTCATAGTTCTAGCTACATTTTTCTATGTATTCTATCCAGTTGGTCTAGGTCTAACTCATCTAGACTGTGGTACAGAGCTTCTCATTATAATGGAATAATTTATGGAAAGGAGCACAGCTGTGTGAAGATAAAGGGCTCAGTAATGAATAAACCAGGTGCAGAGACAGACTGGAGAGGCAGAAGGTTAATATGAAATATTGGGATATTAGCATAAAGAATTCCTGAGAAAAAGTACTTTGAGGGAAAACACGTCAATGAAAGTACTCTCAGACTAAGCAGGAACTGGGTACACAGAACAGAGTTTGAATGCATGAACAGAGTGTTTTAGTGAAAATTGAGTGGTGGTCAGATTAGGTGGTAAAGTAGATACTACAGGCATGAAAGTGTACCTGAAAGCTGATGAATTTACTTTGAAATATCTCTGGAGTCACAGAAATTAAAAAAAAGAAAAAAAAAAAAACTTACTAAAAGCCAAAAAATCTTTCTAAAAACTATTTTAGAAAGATAGGCAAAATATTTCAGGAGACTCTTCTGAATTGTTTTCTTTTATTCAAAATATTAATATCGTTGAACATGGAGTCTAGCATAATCAGGGAGAATTAAATGTCTTTAATTGTTTAAGATACATAGGATTCTGAGTGAGAAGAGGGCTACTATGTATTTATATTTAATTTTGGCTCTAATTGTATTGCCTTTAATGTTTTTTAAAAGGTGACCTGTAATCTAAATTACCAGTTTCAATCAAAAGTTGTCAAAACTCTCTGATAATATTGGCATAAGATACCTTTATTATATCCATTTTAAAGCATCCACCTGTGAAGAAGCCAATTTTCCTCCCTTAAGTAAGTATACCATGATCAATTAAGAATGAGTTTATTAAAAAGAAACAAACTCATAAAATGAAATGGGAGTTTTTACAACATAATGAAGATAAAAATGCTAAAATTAATTAAGTGGTTATACGTGAATTAAAAAGGTTATAAAAAACAGTAGCAAATGGCCTTCTAAGGTCTCAGGTTTCTGTAAGTGAAAAGCTTGGACTTTGAGTATAACAGAATTATGGAATTTTGGTCCCATCACTCAACAAATGTAGAATCTTAAATGAGTGTCTTAGTCACTCTGTTATTCAATTTTACCATTTCATTTATTTTTAATAGTACTAATACTGATAATAATAACAACAGTAATTACACTTTCCTCATGAACTTTTTTGAGATTTAGATGAGAAACTATATGATCAAATAAAGTATTCATTAAGCAAATATTCTTTTCCCTTTATCTGGCATCCAGACGGAATTTCTCAGTGCTAATTCATTTTGATATTTTGAAGAGGATTTTGTTGTGATGAACTCAACAGGCAGACTGGAATAGTTAAAGAAAATGTCAATCTCCTATGAAAAAATGTTATACATATAATATCTGAAGTTATTTGATTTGAAAAGCAAAACAGAAAATATTTGTCATATTTATAGTTTAGATACGGAGTGAGTTTGAGGATAAAGCACTTTATGAAGCCTAGGTAATTTTACACTGATTATCGTAACTTAGTGAGAAGAACTTTTGATTTATTATACCTGTCTCCCTAAGTAAGATAAAATGTTTGAACAAAAAGTAATTTTCATCTTCAAGCCTAGAACTGGGTTTAGGGGAAAACAGCCAGTTAGAGATAAGCCTCTTGTGATGTAAGGAGCTGCAGGGAAAAGGATCAGTTAACAGAACTCTTCATATTTTGCTAGAGGAGTGCTGGTGAATTTATAGAAGTGGGACAAGGGCAAGTTCTGTAAAAGGTCTTCACTCTTGCCATGGACTGTACTGAATAACAAATCTATTCATTTAAATTGAGATTACACCCTGTTACTTTGGATCTTCTTGGGGGAAAAATAAAAACAATTTATGTCTATGACATAATAAAGCATAACTATTACAGCATCCACAGAAGTCAAATCCATCCTGAAAGAAAGGATAGATGGCTAGTCTATAAAATGTATTTTTATGCAATAATGAGTGAAGGAGAAACAGGTACAGATAATTAATGCCATTGACTTATCTGATCACCTTAAGATAAATAAAATTCTAATTCTTTATGTTTACATGTCTGCCATGAAGACTTAACTGATTCATCTTATTGGACTGAGAATATTTTTACATGATGTAAGCTAGTCGTCTGGGAGAGACAGTTTTCAAATAAAGCAATCAAATTTATGTCTGCTAGGTTTGGCTGTGTCCCCGACCAAATCTCATCTTGAATTGTAATTCCCGTAATTCCCACGTGTCATGGAAGGGACTCAGTGGAAGATCGTTGATTGTGGGGGCGGTTACCCTCATGCTGTTCTTCTGACAGTGAGTGAATTCTCCCCAGAGAAGATGGTTTTATAAGGGACTTTTCGTCTTGTTGCTCAGCACTTCTTCTTGCTGCTGCCGTGTGAAGAACGATGTGTTTGCTTCCCCTTCTGTCATGATTGTAAGTTTCCTGAGGCCTCTCAGCTCTGCTGAACTGAGTCCATTAAACCCCTTTCCTTTATAAATTACCCAGTTTCAGGTATGTCTTTATTAGCAGCATGAGAATGGACTAATACAGAGTCTTTAATATTTAACAAACATATGATAGATAATAGACAGGAATGTTTACTACGTGCTGACTAATATGCTAGGTGCTCAAGGGACAGTAACAAAAAAGTCAAATCATGGTTCTGGTCCATATGGGTTTCGGAAGTAATGTAGAAGAACTTAATGCTACCAGAATTTACCAAAAGCCAAGTTACCAGAATAGGTACCCTAAGCTGTTATGCGACTTCCATGAGCAAGTAGCTTGTGGAAATGTGGAGTAAGTTTCTCAGTGTTATCTCCACTATTTTTCCAGGAATTGATAAATATATCCTGAGGAGAGGACAAAGCATAGTCACACATTGTTTAAGGATGAAGATAGGTTCTGAGAAATGCGTACTTAGGCCATTTCCTCATTGTGTGAAAATCAGAGTGTACTTACATGAACCTAGATGGTACAGCCTACTACTACACACCTAGGTTATATGGTACAACCTATTGCTCCCAGGCTACAGACTTGTGTGGCAGGTTAGTGTACTGAATACTGTATCCTTCTGGAATACAATGATAAATATGTATGTATCCAGACATAGAAAAGGTACAGCAAAAATACGGTATTATAATCTCATGGAACCACCATCATATGTGTAGTTCATCATCCAGTGAAATGTCATTATAAGGCATATGCCTATAATTAAGTAGTTCATATACTGAATTAACTAAATCTCTGAACTACTAGATGCAGAACTCGTTGAGAGGGAGACTCTTAACATGAACAAACAGATATTGCACGTTTTCCCCTTCTGATGTGATTTGGATCTGTGTCCCCATCCAATCTCATGTCGAATTGTCATCCTTAGTGTTGAAGGAGGGACCTGGTGGGAGGTGATTAGATCGTGTGGACAGATTTCCCGCTTGTTGTTCTCCTGATACTGAGTGAGCTCTCACAAGATCCGGTTGTTTGAAAGTGTATAGTACCTCCCCCTTCTCTCTCTTCCTCCTACTGCAGCCACTGAAGACATGCTTGCTTTCCCCTTCGCCTTCCGCTGTGATTCAACGTTTCCTGAGGCCTCCCAGTCATGCTTTCTGTACAGCTTGTGGAACTGTAAGCTAATTAAACCTCTTTTCTTTATAAGTTACCCTGTTTCAGGTATCTCTTTATAGCAGTGGGAAAAAAGGACTAATACACCATCCTATACTATAGAGAAAACTACAAGACAAGTATTGAGGGGTTGTCCTATAGAGAGTGAAATTTGAAGAGGAACCACACTCACACTTAAGCCCCTCATTAGGAAAGGAGAGAGAGGAAATTTCAATTCGTTCTTCTGACATCAAGAGAAAACTGACTTCTCTGTTCCCACCTGGAATGCCACTGAATCAAAGTGAGGATTTGCTAACCTGCACCAGTGTTATCATACAAAGGGAAGAAAAATGGAGAATGGAGAGGACTGTCTTGGGGTCACTGTTGTGAGCCGCATTCATCCCTCCATCTGGTCTTTCATGCATCTTCATGTATTGGTGGATATGGCAGGAGCTCAAGTCCCTGACTACTTCCCACACGGGTCATTCTTCAGCCTCGTGTTTGAAGTGCTAGGGGATGAGAAAATGTCTCCTCCCATGACAAGAAGAAGGCACACTTCCTGATTTGTAGCCATAGTCTCGTAAGAGCTGAAGGAGTGCAACAGGGCTCTTCACTGGAACTGTAGTATAGACCAGTGGGGCTAAAAATGGTACCAAAGTGGGAAGAGGTAGGAAAGAAATATCATAAGCTCACTTTCCACATCCTCCAGTGTCTTGCTGGTGACTGCCCTTAGCTAATCCCAGTAGAACGTCAGCTGAATGGGGACGTGGGGGATTCAGTGTACGTTGGGCAGCCACCTTGAGCACAAAAAAGGGCAGATGGGTGCACAGAATGGACGCAGAGGGCACCAGCATTTAGAGCAAGACATAGCTCCACAGTAGACACTGAATAATATGTGTTGCATGAATAAATTAATGAACCAATATATAATATAAAATTAGCCATGTGGTTGAAAAACTCAGGAGTAAGGAAGAAGAATGAGGTACTTATTATAGAATCATTGATGTATATGAGTGTGTGGTGTCCCAGAAGACAGGGGAAGACAGTGGTCACAGACAAAGTTATTGGTCAATTTCAAGACAATGGGAGGCTGAGAAATATTACATTTTTCCCTGTGTCTGAGAATCATATGAGATCCATTTGCAGAAATCAGAAAAGTTGCATCATCAGTCAAACCACTCAGCTGCTCTCCGTTCAAGGCAGTGAAATACTTCATGGTTTAATAGCACAGATTTTACAGCCAGTAACCTTTGCTCTACTCTTCGTTAGTAGGATGACCCTCAAAAATGGGCAGAGCAGAAATACTATTTACTTTGCAAATTAGTGAATTTAACAAGGGTTTATACTTTTAAACCAAAAAGGTGGAGAGATGGTGCAAGGTGGGTTCACTGCACCAGTTACGAGTCCCAAGGGAGGACGCTAAACACCTTTGCCCTCTGTATCATGAGCTGTGCCAATTTCTGTCACTTGCAGAAGTCCAGTGAGGCGGAACACTGACACAACAAGTTCCACGAAGCACATTTATTACTTACAGATAGTAACAAGGGACAATAGAAGTCTCAGATTCATGGGCCAGCCAGTCCCCCAAGGCTCAGGACAGCTGGCCAGGGCACATGCAGTCTTGCACTGCAGCACCCATTTGCACTGCAGTGAGGGACCTCAAAAAGCAGCCCTTCCCGTGTTTTGTACTCTGGAGAAACGCAAGTCACTGGTAGGACATCCTGTTCTAGGAGGGATGGGAATAAATTCCAGGCTGTTCTGGCCAGTTACTTGTTATATCAGAAAGTTGCATTCAGGTTGCAGAGACAAGCCATACCTCCTTATTCACCCAGCTGGCAAGGTTAGATTTGAACCAAACCTGATACATTGATGTAACAGGAAAGTCTTGTCGTTCTGATACTGTGGAGGACTTAAAGCCTCTCTGAAACATGGTTATTGAGATAGGCTGAATGAATGCTCCAAAGACATGAAGACATTCACACTCTGATCTCCAGAACCTGTGAATATGTTATGTGGCAAAAGGGACATTGAAGATGTAATTAAGAAGACCAATCTTAAAATGAGATTATCCTAGTTTAAGTGAGTAAATCCTATGTACTCTCTTAAGCCCTTAAAAACACAAACTTTCTCCAGCTAGAGTTAGAGACCTGAAGCAGAAGTCATAGAAATTCCAGTCATGAGACAAACTTTATACACCACCCAGAGGCAAAAACTGGAGCTAATGGAAAGCATGAGATTGAACACTGGTAGCCTATGGGAGCTGCCTTTACATCGTATTAGTGATTTAAACAATGGAGGTGTCATTATTTATATTTTCTTTGGGTATCTGGGTCACCTGTTTACGATCCTGAAATTCCTTCCCAAATGTAAAACCTAAAGAGAGAAATTATTGCGGTGATACGCAAACCAGTATTTTCACTTGCATTCTTGTCATTATGCATAGTATCTGTGTTGTATTTCTGACATATCATGAACAGAGAAATTACTAAAGTTGTTTTGGTAGGGCATTGTGTGACCTTGTCTGAAAAATTTCCCGGAGTTACTGTTCACTCTATAGTTATCACAAAAGAGCTACAACTCCTTCAGTTACATGAGCAAAGGAATGTGTGGAGTGAAGGTATATAGAAAAATACTTTATTGAATACTGGTCTAAATCCTTTAAAATGTTTCATTTTTAACCTTGAAAATAACCATAAGAGGTGTGCATGATTATCAACACTTAACAATTGAATTACCTGTGGCTAGTATCAGTCGCATAGCATGCCCAGGTTAATATCTCTATTGCATCTAGCTTGCAATGCTTACTTTCTTTATGTTTTTCTTTTTTTGTGTATGCCATCACACAATGTCTATAATCTCATATCTAGTATTTCTCCTAATGGAAGCTTCATCTGTTGTTAATTATTTTTAACAACAAGAAGAGATTAAGAGTTAAATCCTTGGGTTGGTTGAAGCTTTTTCTCTAGGTATAATACTGCAAACCTAAATATTGCCATTTCAATTTAAGAAAACATAACATCACCGAAAATGTGTAAAATGCAAAAGAAGAAAGAATTCAGTAGGGTGATTTTCTTAATATGGCATGCAAGTAAGTGATTTAGTAATTAACCGTTCTTGCAGATTCTAGCTCATGCAGATATAACTTATCGAGTCCCTACTTCATTAGCTGGCATAGATTAGATGTCTTCTAAGGGCATCTACATTTTGTGCTTCACTGGTGTTATACGACTCATCACTATGGGATGGATAGGAAAACTCTTTCATTTTGTGTTCCAATGATAGAAGAAAATTACATACTAAATGTTGAACAGAAGAACTATCTTTGAGTTCAACATCAAAACTATACAAGTGGTTACTGAAGTGTGAGGTTGAAGCTCTTATTCACTGAATCCATCTTCATGCCAGGAAAAGGAAAAAAGCCAAGATAACAAGCCTACATGGATTTTCCAGTAATATAAATCAATTAAAATTCAGGAGGAGAGAAAACAAAAGTCCAGAGCCATTTATTAATTTGTTTACAGCTGTTTGAATATGTAATATGAAGCAGTAGTTTGGGGAATAGCTGCGGGTTGGGGGATGTATTGATTTTGATGATATTGCTCACAGAAATAGACAAGTGCTTTTGATGTATAAACTGCTGCAGTGTAACTTGTTTAGTCTATTGATTCATGTGCTTTGATGGAGTTGTATATGCCTGTTCTGGGACTCGCAGAAAAATGAGATGCCATTTCAGTGTGTGGAATAAAGAGTATATTTAAATGTGAAAAACCAATGGATTCTTCTGTTACTTTACTGGAGCTTTTGTTCAGTTGGTCAAAGTTTTTTGCAGTGGCAACCACAATATCTGCTTTTTAAAGGGAACAAAAACCATGCATCTAAAATAATAAAAATTTGAATCTGCTAAATTAAAATGAAAGATACAATATTTATTGACTTCATAAAAATATAGGAACTTTTCTGCAGGGAATGATAAAATTCTGAGACAAAGCAATAGCTTAAATATCATAGAGACAAAATAACTGAGATATTGAGAGTAAATCCAATATGACAAGGCTCCATTTTTGACAATACAAAAGTAAACATAAGACACCACTTCACAATGGGTTGAAAAGATTTTCATTCTAGGTTGCAAATATTAGAAATTACTTATTTTTGATTTCACATCTTAGGAGAGATGAGGCATTATCTAAAAATAGGCATGGATATTTTAAAACATTTTTTACATAATGTTTGGTATATATGTATTTGAAAATACACTTTTTAAAGTAAGTATTTTCTACTTGGTGCTTCATAACTGAATCACCAAAATGGAATTCCCTTATATATTATTAAGTAATTTTCCAGAAAAGTTAACTAAAGATTCGAAAATTTAATAATTATTCAGATAAAAAATGTTCCTGAAAAATTTAAATGTTCTGAGCTTTGATTGAAGTCGTTTTTAACTTACACCAGTCTTCTTTTTTTTCACTGCCACATAGTGAAAACTACAAAATGTGACTCTTTCTTAATTTTATTACACAGAATGTAGCTAGAGAAAATCTGATATATACTGTTTAACATACATATTCAATTACTAATTATGATGGTCAAAGAAGACAGCTGTCCATCTTTAAACATATATGTTTATTAGAGATAAAGCACTTCCTCCACTTAATGTTTTACTTACATTTGAAGATCTTAATAATTAGACTTTGACTCACATGGAGAATTACTAAAATGAGCATATCAATGTTGGGAGACAAATCCTCTGCAGAGTCTGGTGTTCTTGCATGATCTGGGCCTTCTGAGCAAAGGACATGATTAAACACCAGATATGCTTAAAACTAGAATTGGTGTATCCTATTGGAGTAATTTAGAAACAGACTTCCCAGAGGTTTACCGTGGTGTTAAAGATTAAGTCTTATGTTTCCACTCTCTGGAGACACTTACCTTCATAGCATAGTAATAAACACAGGACTTCAATGTCTGCTACCCCAGAGGCGATTTACCTATATTTAAGGGTATTGAGTCATCTGTCTGGTTGAAGG